TTATAATAGGTAGAAATAAAATTTCATGCCGAAATATAGACAAAAATGGGTAGAATCGTCGTAGTGTTCAACGTTAAATTTGAACACTTAAAGTGCCCAATCGGTTTTGGCCAACCCGTGAAGCCATGTAGCCGTTTTCATGTAAGAAATGGCACGTTCGAGCTCGGATTTTAAACATCACCGTGCGGAAACGGCTACATAACTACACAGTACAGAGGATTGGCGACGTTTGAATTCGAGATTGAATCGACACAAAACGCAACTCTGAAAGTTAGATTTTGAGCATTAAAATGCTCCTCGTGTGAACTTGACCTTTTAGCCCCCACCCTCACTCGCCTGTTAGCTCACGCATGCTCGCCGACTTTAATATCATCCAAAAAGTACGTCGGCCATCCGTCGTTACGAAAATTGCCCTATTCATTGTTCAACCGATGAAGCTCTCATAGCGCCTGATGGGTAGGCAGCACCTTGCCTGCAGTGCATGCGCGTACTGCGGGGTGGCCTACCCCGAGTCTGGCAGGCGCCGATAGCACCCGCGATTTGTGTCGCCGGGCGGATCCAAGGAGAACGGACCGTACTTCCTGGACTATCCTTTTGCACTCGCCGACTTTGCCATTCCTTACCTGAATATATGTTGGCGTTGAAGCCAGGCTTCCACCCGATCCGGCGATGTGATCTACTTTGCGACCGGATCTATCGGGCCGGCTGCCGAGGCCCGCCTAGGCCCGCCTCCCCAGCAGTCGAGGACATTTCCTGCGGAATGACGCGCAAGTTTGTTTCTGGTTGGCGCGGTGGTCTCGACACACGCGCGCCTCTCATTTCCTGCTCCCCCCATACGGGCTCACCGCAAGTTTCTTACAAAGTACTGCTCTTCGTAACGTACCAAAGGATTTGGAACCTTTGGTAAACACCGTCTTCGTCCTACGTTGTCCTGTTCACAAACCGGTGCTGTCTGTCATGCGAAGACATTCGGCTGGTAGTGTGGGGGCGGTTCCAGATCCTTTGTACATTATAAACCCAATTCTTCGTTATAGAAATGGAGAAACTAAGTGGATTAAACGCGTTGTCAACGACAAACATGTACAATAACATCATGGAAAACTATTAGTTTATAAAACAACATGAGGTACAACAAGAAACAGTAAAGGAAAAACAAAAATAACAACAACAAATACTGAGCATGAGCGTTGTAACATAGTGGACATGATACAGGAAGGATGCAACACATATGATTACTCCGGCCAGTCGTATTGGTCAGTCGAAAATACCGGAAATAAAACACCTGCTGAAACACTCAGAAATAGGAACTTTGCTGCTGCGTTAGCGCTTTAAATGGACTAGTAGTTTGAATTTGTTTAGTGAATCACCGCGACCGGCCGACTAGTCATCGTCGTGAGGGTAAGCAGGGTGAGGGTGGGGGTGGGAGAGAAGGTGTGGGTGGGGAGAGATGATTTTAGGAGCGAAGTCGTTCTTTTTATTATTAAACACGTGTGACAGTACAGAATCCTTTCTGTTGAAAAAGTCCTTGAAAGGTGTGAATTTCTTGTGCTCATATTTCTCTGGGCGGTAGTATTTATCAAGTTCCTCTTTGTAGATGATCTTGTAGACTGGCACGGGCACCGGGTAAGGCTTGGGGACGGCGTATGGGATCCTCTTCTCCACGGCCACTGGGTAGGGCTTGTCCACTGGGTATGGCACTGGTCTCTCCACGGGGTAAGGCACGGGCTTCTCCACGGGCACGGCGACAGTCTTGACGATGTGGACGGGCACGTGCACCGCGTAGGGCTGCGGCACGTGGACTGGCACATGCACCGGGTAGGGCACGTGCACGGTCTTGACCTGCGGCACGGGCACGTGCACGGGCTGGGGTACGGGCACGTGCACGGGCTGGGGTACGGGCACGTGCACGGGAACGGGCTGGGGCACGGGCACGTGCACTGGCACGGGGTGCGGCACGGCCACCTGCTTGGTGACCTCGGTGTGCAGCGTCTGGTGCTGCACGTCCGGCACGTGGATGGGCTGCAGCGGCAGCACCCCGGCCTGCAGGGGCTGCGTCAGCGCGTACAGCGACTGGAGGAGGGGCTGGCCCGAGGTCTGGCCCACGGCCTGCAGAGGCTGCTGCTGCTGCTGCTGCTGCTGCTGCTGCTGCTGCAGCGGGGTCTGGCCGGCGACCTGCAGCTGGCCCACAGACTGCTGCGTGGCGACCGACTGGTGATAGGTGTCGCTGTGAGGAGAAGCAACATTAGGCTCCACACAGTACGACCCGGCCCGGCCCGGCGAGCGCCCGTGAAGCCCGGGGTAGGCCACCCGGCGCACGGCCCTGCGCTCGCCACTGGTCCGGTTGCCTACCCCGAGCCTCGCAGGCGCGCTGGAGCGATCGACCACGGCACTCCACCATAGTGTTTCCAATCGCGAGCGCAGGGATCGTCTTCCTTTTAACCTGGCGCGCACTCTTAGTTCATCACTCAAAGTAGTCTTCATAATACAAAGAGTTGGGTTTCTAACGTATCAGTTTGTGAACAGACACGCATTACAAAGACCGGCCATCCGTGCAAAGGACTTGAATTGTATTGCGATGTTACAGTTCTTTGTAAGTAATTAACAGTGCGAATGAGAGGGAGCACATAAAAAGCCACTCAAGGCGCTCGCCCGCAGAGACAGTACTCTAGCACTCCCACACTTACACACTTACCCAGAGTAACTGCTGTATCCGTCGTAGCCGGCCGCCGTGTGGACGTAGCTGCTGGCGGCCCGCTTGTCTTTTGCGTCAGTGTCAGCAGTAGCAGCAACAGCAACAGTCGCTGCCGCCACCGGAGGCTGTTCACTTTGGGCGCCGCCCTGCTGGTCCGCCCGGCTCTCCGCAACCACCTGGTAAGGCGGGCTCGCGACCACCAGGCCCGCCAGACTCAGACTCAGGCAGCCCAGGGCTGTCATGATCTGAGGGAGAAGCACGAAGTCAGATAACGCACAACCGACAGCACTCACTCACTCACTCACTCACTCACTCACTCACTCACTCACTCACTCACTCACTCACTCACTCACTCACTCACTCACTCACTCACTCACTCACCCACCCA